AACCCTCTGAAAGAGACACCTTGGGAGAAGTAGACACAGATGGAATGGATTATAAGGAAAGAGGCAACAAGGATATAAACTGGACTGAACTTGGTCGGTATATGCTCAATAAATGGGATGTCTTGCATCATCGATTAACCTTTGGGTTCTGTCAAAAGAGGGCCACTAAAGGCGAACGCATTTTAATGGATATAATTGGGTTTTAAATTACTGTTTCAAATATCTAATTTGCATGCCGACAAAGATACATTATGTTGGAACGCCACTTATCTCAAAACGTGTAGCGTACATATAAATAAATAAATAAGACATTTTGTTCTTCAGCAATGTTTTACCCAAGCTGTGTAAGATGAGACGTCTTGTGTGTAAATAAGACTGTAAACTACAGCTTTTCATTAAGTCGTCAGAGCTCCACTTATCTCATTTTGTAAAGTCACACAAACGCTCAGTTTTAAAAATGCTCAGTTAGTTTGTGACTTGTAATTTTGTAGTATGAAAGTGACATTTAAATACACTTTTACATAACACAGACTAGAAATCTAAGAGTATTTTATTTTTCATTAAACATTACACCCGTTCCAAACCCAAGAACGCGGTAAGGATGCGTTCCATGAGCCACATTCACGTTACACAAAGCCTCAAGCGTTCAACTCCTTCCGCGTGGAAGAGTAGTTCGATATATCTGATAAACTTCGAGGTTAATTATTTTTCAACTGAATAGTCAATGGAACACTGCATCAAATATTCACGTTTTCACAAAACATGAGAGGGAATAAACGATAAATCTCCATCCACCCTGTGTATCAAAACAGCTAAAGACAAACCTCCTGGAAAATGCATGGTAGGGCTGGAAGTTCTATGTCCAATGATCACAAACAGCAGTTAATCGCTTTGTGGTGAGTTAAGACATGATATAAGATACATCCACACCAGCAGCAACATAGGAGGGATTATGATAAAGTGATGTCATGAAGCACTAATTGTGATTATCAAGGGTCATATTTGTTGACGAGGTCGCTCGACTTGCATTTAAACAGAGGAGAGAGAGAGAAGCAATCTGTTGAGTGGCTTGTTCCCTCCGTTCTGAAACTCACCAGCATACAAGTCTGTGAGGCAGTTCCGTACAATTGGCAGCTTACACGCGAAAATATGACGCAGGACGAAAAAAATCGATTTATTACCACTCTACAATGATGGGAATTTTCAGATTCAAGTAATTTTCCCGAAATGTCTCAATCTAACAGAAAATAAGGTGTACGTGTTGTGTTGACATTGGTATGATAATTATGTAAGATGCGAAATTCTCAAGGCGAATAAATAGTATAAAATCCTAGCGAACGATAGGATGTGAGAATGTTGAGTTCAGCCGAGCAAAATTTATCATGATAAAGTAATCTAAAATAATTACGACAGCCGCAACATAACAAATTTTCACAGAAGTCTTTGGCATTACTATGAGAAAACTCGACAAACGCTTATTATGCTTATGGCAGA